CACACACACACACACACACACACACACACACACACACACACACACAGGCAAACACTGTTAACAGTACCATTAAGGAACTTTGTTCAACATTAAAAAATGAAGCAAATACTTGTGGGATTTAGTCAGTAATGGCTGCTGTAAAGAAGAGAGCTCTTACAACAGAATTTACAACACATTACTAAGTGCCATGCTTTAAGATGTGCACAGAGAGGAAAGCTACTTTTATTGTGGAGGGGATTGTAAATGTTGGGTGAATATGCTCACTTGTCTGAGCATGTGTCTGCGTCTGTATGAGTGAATAAGCGAGTGTGTGGTCTTACCTCAGCGTCCTGATTCTGCAGACTGTAGGTTCTCTGCAGAGCACGAAGTGATGCCACGCTTAACTCCGATTCCTCCAACAGAAGCTCCAGAAGCATCACTAGCTGGTCCGACGTCAGCTGAGGAGACAACGGTTTATGATATTAATAGCTCTGACTAATCTAGCCAGCCTCATAAAACATATTGAGGCATTATTAAATAATACAAGGGGTGGGAAAACTCACATTTTCCTTACACCAGCAGCTTCAAATTACCAAACTTGCAAAAATTATCAAGACTAGCTGAATCATTTACATGTTGGATCCTGTGCACCCACACATAAGCACATTTGCATTATTTTCCGCGAGTTAGATTTTCTCCTCCGTGAAATGAAAGCTTTGATGAAAAAAAAAAAAAAACATCAATAAAAGTCAGGCAATTAATGCCGCCTTTCAAACAGAGGAAATGGTGGAATAATAAAACAGCTGAAGTGGTAATTAAATAAATATGGTAAATCAAGTGAATCTTGTACAGCTGGGAAATATTACAGAATAGGCAAAAGACAGATGAACGGAAAATATTAGGGCAAAGAAATTAAGTTGTCTTTTTTGATTTTGTTCTATTGTAGAGAAACTCAGAAGAGCACTGTTCAGGGACACACTTTTGGGCGGGGGGGGGGGGGGGGCATCTTTGACAACGTTTCTGCTCGTAGGCTGCGAGACTGCAGTGAAATCCCCCACTGTATCAATGTCACAGACTAAAAGGTTTTCAGGAAAAACTAAATGCCTGACTGCTGCTTCCTAATCGTGCATATATTGCTTGTGTTATCCTGAGGTAGACCTGAAGGAAACAATCTATTTTCTTCTTGTGATTGCCATCTTCAGGGACAGTGAGTTTAGATGAGTATTCTGAGGATGGATGTGGGCAACGATATGAGAGAGTGGCTTCCTCCTCCGGAGACAGCTGTGCCCAGCCTTGCCTGCCTCTCTCTTGGATACACCCAGCACTACCGGCCACACTTCTTCTGTGGTCCCAGTCTGGGACACAATTAATGGCTGAAGGCCCCGCAGAGACTAATGTGAAAATAAGTATGAAGTGGCTGTGAGTGTGTGTGTGTGTGTGTGTGTGTGCGTGCATGCATGCGTGCGTGCGTGCGTGCGTGCGCAACTGAGAGAGGCAGGGTGCGTGGAAGTGAAGAGAAAGTGACACAGAGGAGAAAGCCACATTCTGCTCTTTCTGGATATGATTACCTCTTTCTATTGAGGTGAACGCAGCC